GTTCAGGATCAAAATGTGAGTTGAGTTTAGGTTAATTTTACCGTAAATGGTCAGGGTTAGGATGTAAAATTACCTAAACATGAATGGAAGTCAATGGAAAGTCCCCACAAGGATAGAGAGACATAGTAGGTGTGTGTGTGTAACATTCCTCACCAGTGGGTTCCCATCTGACCAGCGGAAATCATCCTCAATGGTTTTATCATTCAAACCGGTCCATTGGTATTCCTTATAGTTACCTACATTAAGGACACACAACATCTGTTAAATTAAATCCAATTAAAAACCACATGTGCTCAAAGGTTCCTGCAGCTCCTACTGTTGATGTAGTCCTGCTCCTCGGGGCTCATGATGGACACCAGGTGAGCTCCTTGCATGCGGCAGTGCTGCTCGGCCACCTCCCAGCTCTGACGCTGGCTGAAGTGTCGATAGCAAAAACCGTGAAACTTGTCCCAGCCCGGGTCACACCGCTCCAAGTCTGCGTTCATCACAGCAGGGGGAGGCAGAACAACCAGAACAAGAGTTAATCAGCTGAACCGACAGGCCTCACTGATTATTAATAAAAAAATAAATGATAATTTACGAAGCTCACCCGTCTGACAGAAGACTCCTCCATATGTTGGCAAACAGAGACACCTGATCTGTCCGTCCTGCTCGGTGCAGGTGCCTCCATTCAGACAGGGGTCATCCAGACAGACATCTGAAACACAACAGGTCACTGCTGCAGGTTACTGATCAACTGAATCCACGGTTATCACCTGAAGCATCACTGCATATCAGTATGTTAAAGAAAACAGTGTAACTTTAATGCTGAATACTGGAGAACATCAACATGAGCAAAGAGATGGCAGCAGGAGACAAACTTCAGAGTTCCTCTTCTCTTCTTCTTTCTTTCTGAGATTTCAGCCCTTTAAAATGTTTGTTTTCTGCATCAGAACCAATCAAAACAACACGCAAGTAAAAGCAAATTGAAGATAGCACTGGAGTAAATTTTATTTTAGTTAACAAATATGAGGAATTTTGACTCTGTTACACTTTGCACTATTTGCACACGATATGTATAACCTGATGCTGCTAACCATGGAAAAACCTTAAAAGAGTTTTGTGAACAAAATCTGTCAAACACATTTTATGACTCCTAAAGTTAGAAAGCTATTTGGAAAAACTTAGTGAATCTCTGTGGAGAAAAAAATATTTCTTGGTTTTTGTTGCCCAATAAGAAAACTTAAAACCCTAAAAAAAATGTTTTGATTCAGCCAAGTCTGGCTATRCTGAAATTAAATATTTCACAAGAATATTTGATTTCTTTGCTTTTCTTACGCTGTGTAAACTGGAACTACGTGTTGTTTGTCATTATATGCTTAAACTCGCATTTCAAAACCAGCCYTGCAGCTGTGTTTATGAACGCTACAGTAATAACGGCTTTTCACTGCAGAAAAATGAGAATCACATGCTCCCAAAGCAAAATCGTTGTTAACTTTTGCAAAAATACAAATACAAGAGCTTTAAGGAAAACCACAGAGAAACCTTTGAAGCCTGAACGACCCCTTGAGCCCCAAAACGTCTTTTTCTAAAATTGCTGCATTTTTAAGTTTTACAAAGTTCATCCCTGGAAAGCAGTTACATTTTTTAAAGTCATTTTTTTAAATCCTAAAAAATGTAACATTCAGTTCATGAAAAGAATGCCAAAAAGCCTGAGGGTCATTTGWTGTCTATTTAATTTTGGCGAAAGAAAAGAAGAGATTCCTGCAGCACTAAAGAGTTTTCAGAGTTGGACTTAAGAGGAAAAACCTAAAAATTCAATTAGATTAGTGTTAGTTGACACATTTTTAGTTTACGTTTTCAACATTTTCCTCTCATCTACAGACAGAGCGACAGATTATATCTCTTCTGCAAACAATCTGATTATATTTAATTTGCATGAACTCCTGCAGACCCTCTCATACAAACACACAAAACCACCTTCATAGCATCAGTACAAAACAACATCAGCTGCACTTTGAAGCGGTTCAGATMGTTTGAAGTGGGGTTCTCAGGAAAGGTTTTGAGAAACAATATCTTACCTGTCGTGGATAGCTCTTTGAATGACCTCAGTTTGGAGAAAAACAGTTTAATTCTCACCAGATTCATGAGCTAACCGCTAGTCAGAGTGGGGCCAATACCAAAGAAAATCGCTGCATGCAAATGCTATTTTATAAATAACTATGTTATTCATTACATAGTTATTTACATGGATGTTTGTGAATATTTCAAAGTGCAAACAGTAGCAGTAAGCTGTAGCACTTCCAGGACAGGTTGTACTTTTCTAGCAGGAATCTTATGATGTTTTTGTCAGAACAACCAGGAAATTCTGAACTCACAGTTATTTATAAAGTAGGGCTTCTGTGAACAGTTATTCCATTTGCGAGATTAGCGTTGCTTTAAGACAGCAGCATTCCACTTTGGTCTTGACCCTGCTCAGACTAGCCTTTAGCTTGTCACCGCACTCATATTAAAACTGTTGCTTGACTGTTCAAAGGCCATTTGGGTAAAATATGGATTGTTCATAAAATCTCAACAGAACCTATCCTTGTAAGAAAGCCAGTCTGAATCCCAAGTATTTATGCAAACCTTGATTTTTGTGTTGCAGTATTTCAGGTAGAAGTTGCTGCAGAACACTTAAAAAAGATGAAAAAACATAAATATTCTGCTGCGAATTTAGCAGATCAACAACAAAGATACACAAGAGCAAAAATAGAAATACTTGCAATGTTGTGGGCTACAGCAATAAAAATTTAATCTTAAACCAAAGCATAACTTGAGCTTCAGAAGATGGAAACAATTAAAAAAGACGTGCAAACTTAACAAATATAAGAGATGTTTAAACAACTCTATCTTACTATAAAAAGCTCTGTTAACCTATGCAACAAGCTCATGCACAAATATTAAATTAAACATTAACTGTGTGTCAAAAGTATGAGGTACAAATTCTATATCCATTACTAAATTATTATTTTTGTAGAAATGTCCATACAATAGGTTTTTTTGTCTTCAAGTGAAATATTGAGCTGTAGAAACTAATTAAATGTAAAAATATTCAACCAAGAAGGGAAGAATAAGACAAACAAGAAAAACAAACAAATTCAGATTAGTTGCCTTAATCAGAATTAGTTCCAACATGCAAAATAAATCTTAAACAATTACAATTAAATACAAACAACGATGAAACACATAAAMCATGAAAACTGGTTGCTAAAGGCCACTGCTTTGGACAAATTAAAAACATTTTGTGCTAAACATATCAGTGTTTCTATAATAATACAGTTATAAAACAAGGAGAGTCAAGTGAGAACAAATTCTCATTTTCAGTATCAACCTGTGGTCAATAAGCAGCAAAAAAAAAAAAAAAAAAAAAAAAAAAAAAAAAAAAAAAGATAACACAGCTGGAGATATGCACAACAAACAACCAAAAAATATTAAATGATACATGATTAAAAAAACTTTTGAAAAGAAACATTACAAAATTATATTTTAAAAATAGGTGCAAAGATCATGAAGAGAAGTCTTGAAAAATAGAATAAAAAAGTGATTTTTAGTCCGTTTGAACTGGTTCTAATGACTAGCAGCAGAAAACTGAAATGATTAAAAACCAAAAGAAGTGCAAGCTTTGAAGACACGTGGAATAAAAATAGTAAACATTAATATGAAGACTGAGAAGTGAATGAAAACCAGCGTGTTTGTTTGTGAAGAGAAAGTTCACCAGGAAGTGAGTGAGGAGTGTTGAAGGGAGCTGACAAATCAATTGTTAATAAGAATTTCAAATGAAAGTGAGTTGATTCAAATCCCACGATCCCAAGAAACCAAACCATTTAAAGAGATTCATTTCATCAGCTGACACAAATTCTGGTGCTGGACTGGCTAATATAACAGTGTAAAGGGGAAAAATATATATAAAAGTGACAAAACAGCTACATATAAAACCATTTAGTTGCATTGGTCAGTGCTGGTACATTCATCATAAATGCTTTTACATTCGTTATATGGCTTCCTGCCATCCAGTAGGCAATATGAACTTGTGCAACTCGAGTTAAAGTTTTAGCTTCAGTTTTTGTGCAGAAATTACGACAGAGTATTAGGGACAGACTAAAATTGTTTATTTTTCTTATTACAAGAATAAAGTCATAGTATTATGAGAATAATGTATTTGAAATAGACACAATTGTTTACACAATTACTTTAAAGTCCTGTTACTGATAATAATGTGATGCTGTTGTGTTAAGTGTTTCCTCAATARCTCAAAGTATAACTTCACAAGATACTCAGTGTTCCTCATTTTAATGCAGTAGTAAATTTCTGTATAAGTTCCCATAATATTATTACTTTACTCTTGTATTATTTAAAGTTTATTCATCATTTATTTAATGTTTATTTGATAGAGATGGATAAAAGAAACATAGATCAAAGCAATCTGATGCCTGCATCACAGTGTTTACAGCCATGGCCAATTTGCAACAACCGTACCTATTAAGGAAGTAATATGACTTTATTCTCATAATTTAAAAAAACATCTGGTAGTCTGGCTCTAATACTCCTTTGTAAAAATTAGATTGTCTGCAAACAAAACTTTATGCTCAACATACAAAAATAAAATCACTAAGGTACAGTCATTCTTGAGGGAAAATATTTTTAAATGAAACACTAAAACATTCATTTAAACACACCAGTACTTCACAGAAGTCAAACTTTGGATGAGTAGAAAAAAATATCATGCACATTCAGACTGTTGACAAATGTCCAGCTGTGAGTGTCTTGGAGGGCAGAGTGAGGGAGTCACGAGGACAGAAGGGAAGAAGTGTTTAAAAGCAAAGCAGGAGGATTAAGGAAGGTCAGTAGGGTAGCTCAACGTGAGGAGTCAATGAAAAGCAAGGAGAGGTTTTTACAGAAGGTGGAGCAGGAAACAAACCAGGGATTTTAGTGCATCGCTGTGCTGAGCAGGAAGAGGACGGTTAGGCTGGTGGTTGTGGTTTTAACATTACCTGAATACTTCCCTGCACCACCTACAGCTGCCCTCTCATTGGGCAGGATAAGCAGGGTGGGCGGCTTAGTGAGGCCAAGCTCAAGCTCAACCAAACCATGATCCACAGGCGGTATGACATGAGTCACCTTCTGTAACTCAATCGTCTCATGGATGCTCTTGGGTCTGGCGGTGGTTGGGCTCCAGATGTGTCGGGATTGGTGAGTGGTTGTGGTTATGGTGGAGGAGACTGTCTTTGCGGCAGCAGCAGTGGGTTTTGTGCTTAAATGAACTGTCAGCAAATCTGAAACCTCTTTGGCTGAGGGTCTCTGATGGAACCCAACATCAATTAGAGACTCTTGAGGTTCAGTTGGGGTGGTCAGCAAAGTCCATTTAGAGGTTTGAGAACTGAGAGGGGAGATGGTAAAGTCAGCGTAGGTTGGCACAACTTTAGTTTCCTCTTCAAGATCAGAGATTGGAGCAATCTTAATGTTTTCAGTCACAAAGGCTGGGGTAACTTTGGCTTCTTTGTCAGTGACATGGTCAGTAGCAACATGTACATATTCATTTTCTTCAAGGGAATGGGTTGGTGCAACTTTAACTTCTTCAATGACAAACGTTGAAAAGACTTTGACCTCTTCTTCCATGGTTGGTGCAGCGCTAGCTTCTTCCTCAAGGTCATGAGTTGAGGGAAGTTTGTCTTCCTGAGGGTCAATAGTTGGGTCAACTTTAGCTGTTTCCTCGAGGACTATGGTAGGAACAACTTCAGTATCTTCTTTGAGGACAAAAGTTGGCACAATCTTGACCTCTTCTTCYGTGGTTGGTGCAGTACTAGCTTCTTCCTCAAGGTCATAAGTTGAGGGACGTTTAGCTTCCTGAAGGTCAAGAGTTGGATCAACTTTAGCTGTTTCCTCAAGGACAATAGTTGGGGCAATTTTAGCTTCTTCAAGGACAACAGTTGGGACAACTTCAGTATATTCTTTGAGGACAAAAGTTGGCACAACCTTGACCTCTTCTTCCATGGTTGGTGCAGCACTTGCTTCTTCCTCAAGGTCATGAGTTGAGGGAATTTCAGCTTTCTGAGAGTCAAGAGTTGGGTCAACTTTAGCTGTTTCCTTAAAGACAAAAGTTGGGGCAATTTTGATGTCTTCGAAGACAACATTTGGGACAACTTCAGTATCTTCTTTGAAGACAAGAGTTGGAACAACTTTAACATCTTTAATAACTGGTGCAACACTGGCTTCCTCTTCATCAAGGGATGAGAGAACTTTGGCTTCTTCAAAAGTTGGGTCAACTGTTTCTTTGAGGACAATGGTTGGGGCAACTTTAACATCTTTAATAACTGGTGCAACGCTGCCTTCCTCTTCATTGAGGGATGAGAGAACTTTGGCTTCTTCAAGAGTTGGGTCAACTTTAGCTATTTCTTTGAGGACAATGGTTGGGGCAACTTTGACTTCTTCAGGGACAACAGTTGGGACAACTTCTGTGTCGTTTTTGAGGAAAGGAGTTGGAGCAAATTTGACATCTTTAATAGTTGGGGCACCGGCTTCTTCTTCAACTAGGGATGAGAGAACTTTGGCTTCTTCTTTGATAGATGGGGCAACTTTTGCTGTTTTCTCAAAAACAAGGGTTGGGACAACTTTAGCTTCTTCCTCAAGTACATGGGTTGGAACAACACTGACTTTTTCTTCACTGATTGGGGCAACACTAACTTCATCTTTAAGGTCAAAGAAAGAAGGAGCTTTGGTATCTTCTTCAAGAGTTGGGACAATTTTTGCTGTTTCATCAAAAACATGGGTTGGGGCAACTTTTGGAACAACACTGACATCATCTTCAAGGTCAGTGAAGGAAGGAGCTCCCTCAAGAGTTGGGACAACTTTGGTTGGGACAGCTTTAGCTCCTTCTCCAGGAGTCATGGTTGAGGCAACCTTTGTTTCTGTATCAGTTGCCAGGGTACCATTGGTTTCTTCTTCCTTAAGAAAAATGGTTGTGATGACTTTTGCTTCATCAGGAACACTGGTAGAGGCAACTTTAACATCTTCCATGAAAATGGAAACATTTGCTTCCTCTTCATAAGTTGGTGAAGCTGTTGTTTGTTCTTCAGGGGCTAAAACAAATTTATTATTTTCTTGAAAAGAGGAATTGTCTGTTCTAGGTTCATATCCACTTACATCTTCAGCAGAACTGCTAGAATCAAAGTATAATATGTATCCAGATGTCTGATTCTGTGTTGTTGCAAATTCAGAAGGTGACTGAGATGTATTCAGTCCCTCYGGAGTCTCAGTGGTAGTCGAACTTACTTTAGAAACAACCCATTTTAGTGACTGGGTTGTTTGAGTCTGCATTTCCTCAGCTTCCATGTCTCCAGTTTCTAAGCTTGTGCTTCCCTCTTGTCTGGAAACAGAGGACTCCCACAGGTGTGGTGATGTGAAGAAGATTTCTGAGCTTGCTGTGTCTACATAGTGCGACTCAGGTGAGAAGGTAACATCTGGAGGTATGGTCTGTTTGATGGGTCTTCTGCTAGCTGAAGCAAATGGGTGCATGGTGAAGCCATCCGTAGCAGAATGTGACGTAGTGACTTCTACTTTGACATCTTTCTCTGTAAAAAGGTACAAATTATTTTAAAATAATTACAAATGAGATAAAAATGCATCTTAAGTGCTGAGAACCATTTGAGATGGATTAGCTTCTTATCAAATATTRATATAGTCTGGCCTTGTAACACAAGTAGAGCAAAGTATCAATCTATAATATTGCATTTTTTTTAAGATGGACACAAACAAATGCTTGACATACCCTGAGAAACATCTCCAGATCCATCCTTGTCCCACAGTGAGGTTAAAGTCCCAATAGCCGATTCAGTCGTTTGAGTCACATCAGTTGAATGAGTTTCTTGAGGTGCCTGAGTTGACAGTGACATATGTTCCAGATCTACTACTGCCGCCTCTTCCAGCTTCACCTGAAGTGACGAGTCAACTGTCGCAGCAGTTGCCTCCCAGAAGCTTTCCTCTTGAGTGTATTTGCGCTCTGTGTCGCTGTAATTGGTGTGTAATCTTTCGAAACTTAAACTAGTGTTTTGTAATCCTCTGTGCGTCCCAGGTAGAAATGTGGTCTCCTGAAAATGAACGCCTGGCCCTGTCTGGTTCTCAGTGTGAGGTTTGTATGTGGTCCTCTCAATCTCAGACTGGAGAAAGGTGAAGCTTAAGTTTGATTGTAAATCTGTTTGGTTGTAAACACCGAGTGAAAATGATGTGCTCTGGGTTGAATTGTAGGGTTCGGTTTCGCTGATGGTAGTGTTCATGACTTCTGTAGGATGCTCAGAGTCCAAGCTCGTTTCTGAGGTTTCATTAATCAGTTGAATGAGGTCCAGAGCAGATGTGCTCGGGGAGGATTCTGCAATGTCTGGTGTAACTGTTGGGTGTGTTTCAGCCAGGGTTTCTACAGTAAAAGGGCTGGACAAAACAGGCAAAGATTCAAGCACGCTTTGCACCTCTCGCTCCACCTGTTCTGCTTGTTGATTAAGCTGGATTTGTTGATCTTTTTCCGTGAAAAAAATAATGTTTTGTTCAGCTTCTTCTGCTTCTGTGAACACACTGTCAACTGGAGAGTCACTCGAAGTTTTCCTTTTTTCTGTTGAAGACACGATTAAAAGATTAGTTTTCGTCTCAAATATACACTTAATCTGAAGGTTGCAATTGTGATACAAGTGCATTTTAATAATTAAAAGTATCACTTTAAATGAAGCTGTACTGCAGAGGTGTCAAATTCAATTACACAAGGGGGCCAAATAATTAAAACCTGGTCCAACGCAAGGGCCAATTCAGTGTTTATCAACAAAAAGGTTCTATAACAAATTATTCTTTCAGAAATACAAATTTTACAAATGATGTTCCATGTAGAGTTTAGGAAATACGTAACCTAACAAGTGAAAAATCCTGATTAAATTTAGAAAGACACATATTCAGAATTCATTTCTTATGTCTCACTCTCTATCAACAATTTTTTCCTTTATTACATCTTAAATTTTGTCAGAATCCAAAGAAAATCCTAATTAAAAGATTACTGAAAAATTCCAACTAAACTTTCTTGGCTTGATAGTTGTTCAGCTGTCATGATAAGAATGCACTAAATCCAGTGAAAAAAACAGAAATTTTACATTTAAAGTAGTTACCTTTGGGGCCAAATAAAATGTTAACGAAGGCCAGATTTGGCCCATGGACCTCGAGTTTGACACGTGTGCCGTACTGCATATTTTGAGGAACAAAAAACACCACCTTTGAAGCAATAAACGTCATAAAGCCTGAAAGGTTCCGGGAAACCAGTCTGGTTGCTGAAGCGGTACAGAGTCTTGACGCCTGCCTGAGGACCACCGCATCTCTCTCTGGGGGTCACGATGGGATAGCGCACGCTGCCGTCAGCAAGCCAGCCAGGACTGCAGCGGTCCAAGCCTTCGCTCCATGCAAAATACAACTGTGCTGTTGTTGCCAGCTCTGCCTCTGCAGCTTCACAGTATGACCGTGCTTCATCAAACGATAACTGCTGTGGGATGAAATCATGGAACACCTCCCCTAAAAACACAAAATGTTTCCATTATTTACCTTAAACAGCAGTTAGCACAATTATTTTATACTGTTGTAACAATAGTTTCACCTTATTAAAGCTACTGTGCAGAAATCTGGGGTAATAGTTATAAAACATTACATTGTTTTTATTCTCCAGAAAAAAGCAGCTTGTATCGTTCACATGTTACAGGGATCATAAAAACCATCTTTTTAAACCTCAAAATACTGCAATTTCAAGATCTGGTAAAGTTCCAGAAAATACAAATTTTGCACAGAGCGAAACATGAAAATTTACAAAATAAATATACAAAGTTGTTGTTTTTTCAGAAAGGAAGTTACAGTTTAAGGGGTATTTGTCAATTGAAACTCGTTTTTGTGAGCACTATGAGTTGCTGTGTGCGGAGTGAAAATGTGGAATAATTTGAGTGTTTAGTTGAAGCAATGTCTAATTATAAAATTATTTAAAAGCAAGTATAAGTAAATTATTTTCATGAATTATAAAGATATGTAAAAATAGCCAGTATTATAAAACAGTATTTAACTATTGTAAACATGTACCGGTGTGTTATTTCTTTAGTGGTTGTTCTAATATGAATTAGATTGGTAAAAATTGCTAACTAATGGTGAAGGGATGGGATTAAATAAATATGCATTTCTTCCCACTCCTTTTCAACACGTTAGCAATATAAAAAGTGTAGCGATACTTGTGCACTTTCTTTTGTCTCTCTACTTTGCTTAAAAATATTTTCTGTACATCATTAACTTGTACAAAATAAGCCAAACAAGAATTACCATCAATTTGTTCTATGTAGCAATAAACATCATATAGATCCTTGGGATCCATTGTCCCATAGTTCCTCACTCCTGGTTGCCCATCCATGTCTCCGTAACAGCCTTCTCTAGGGACTTGGATTGGATACCTGCATCCAGGAAAGCATCAACATTTTAATTATCATCATTCTGTAGTTTGATTGTTACGTGTATAAAAACGGTGACAGCCTACCTGACAGATTGGTCTGCCAGCCAGCCTGCGTCACACTGCTCATATCCATCATAATAAGCAGCGAGCAGCTGGTCAGGAGTTGCAATCTGGGCACCGATGGCCCCGCAAGCCTTCTGGGCCTGCTGAAAGGAGAAGGCATACCGGCCCAATGTGTCTCTGTAGTGGAACACAACCCCTACACACACAAACATGGATATATTTACACACATAGAAGTAAGACATGTCCTGATTCATCTCAATAATCCAGGTAGAAAAAATCAAAAAGAAAAAATAAGTAGGTCCTCTGGATGGGTTCTTCTTCAGTGAAACGTTTCGTCTCTCCTCCAAGAGACTTCTTCAGTCTGATGAGTTTCAGGTGAAACTCAGCCTTATAAGCCCTGCCTCCACATGGACAAACAGGTTAGTCACATGCAAAAGAGGGCCATCGACTAACAATAGGCTTAATGGGGTCTATTGTTCATAGAGGGTCATGTGCCCCATCCAACCCATTCTCACTCCCAACTCGTCACATATTAACGTTTTGCAAGGTTCCCTCAACGTCCGATTTTGACGCGCGGGGTACCCCCCTCACGTCAGTTACTGACGAGATGGGGCGGAAGCTGTTGTCATATGTTCAGAAAGTGTATAAAATGCGCAAAAACAACCGTTCCAAAGCCTGAAATTACCTTAGTTGACTTTAGACATCCTGTCCCTGACCCTAGTAGGTAAAATTAAACATTTTTAGAAATTGTACGAAATTCAGGTGAACGTGTTCTAAAGCGTAAAATGACCTAATATTCACCATGGACATCCTACCCCTGATCCCAGTACCTAAACTTAACCA